TCGTCTGGGAACGACCAGCCGGGGAGGTGGAGCTGCCCTTGGACCTCCACCGGTTCCGTCGTCTTCCACCCGCGCCATGAGTACCTCTTGATACTGCAGTTGTGGACGTGGTCGCATTCCTTTCCGTTGGTCATGGCCCACGGGTTGCCCGCCGAGATGAAATCCTGGGGGCCCGGCCACCCGTTGCCCCGCTGCCTGTCGCATTCGCGCCAGGGGTCCCACAATGGCAGGTGCTCCTTGCCATCGCAGTGCTTCTGACAGAGCTCACACCGCCGGCGCCATTCGCCGTTGAAGTGCGCCCAACGCAGCCAGGGGCATTCGCGGGCACGGAATGGGAGGAGGCCGCCTACTTTGACAGGGCCGTTTGAACGGCATGCCTCGTGCGCTGGCCAGCGGGCCAGCGGTCCTCGATTGCACTTTTTCCTGGGCATCCTCGGGGGTCGCAGCTGATCGCCGCTAGAGTCCTTTGAAAAGCTGGGGGGTCGCGGCCCGCTGCTTGGCGGGCCTCGGTGGGCGGGGCGATCGACCGATCAGTGACCAAGAGCGAGGGGGGGGGGGGGGGAGGGGGGGCGGAGGGTTTTCCAAGCAAAAAGCAGCGGCGGCACATGCCATTGGATCGCAAAGGTCAATGTCTAGACCGCGCACAGTGGCGGGGAGGGGCAGTGCGTGCATCTGCCCATTGTATGTGAGTGCGGACTGCGAAGTCGCCTGCGCTGAGTAAAGCATCCGCCCAGAACACCCCAGGGGTGGTGAGGCTATTTGCAGCCTTGTTTCGGCGGCGTCTCACGGCCGGCCAAGACAGCACCCAGCCAATGTTCTCCGCCTGCGCGAGGGCGTCCTCCATTTGCTGAGCCAGGTGTAGCCTCCTGTACCTGGCCGTGCCGGCCCCATATCGGATGGCCGCTAAGTTGCCCCCAACAATCCCGGCACCCCGGAGGGGGCCGCGGAGGCGGGGCAGGAGGGCGAGTCCAGCGCGACAGCCGGCTACCTCGGCCATCTGTGCGCTGCTGCAGCTGGGGAGCGCTACTATGGCAACTGCCATTATTTTGGGGGTACCTGTAGCTGGGTCGTGGTGCCACAAGATCGTGCCTGCGCCTGAGACCTTGGCGCGGCCTTCGATGCTTCGGGCGCCGCCATCGAAGGTGACTTCGCATGGCCATTGGGTGCTGTCTGTGTCTGGGAAGGGGGAGCTTCGGACGGTAACTTCGCCCCCCGGTTCAAGGTCGGTGTTCGCCGTCAGCGTTGCGGTGTGTGCGTGACATTCTCGGCAGTATGCTGACGTCCAGCTCGCTGTGGGGTTGTTGTCAATTCTGGGGCAGGGGAACCAGCCCTGGCCGGGCAGCATCCACCCCGCGCGCATCTGCGTGGCCTGGATGACTGCAAGCTTGTCTCCTGCGCGGTAGTGTCTGGTGACAACTGGGAGCCTGCGCGCCTCTCCTCCCGCACGTCGCGCATGGCGGGTCATGTGTGGCCTGGCAGCTCCGCATATGGCCCTGCCGGGGGTGGCGTGCGGGTGGCACGTGGGGCAGGTGTCTTGAATTGTTGCCCACGCGGCGGTCTCGTCCAGGTTGTCGTGCCTCGGGGGCTCGTCGCCGTCGCGGACGCCCTCGTCGCTGTCGCCTAGCTGGTCGGTATCCGCGGCGACGATGCCTTGGAGAATGAGTCTGGCCGCGTCGCTGGCCTCGAGGGGGGTGGCGGTGAGGTTGACGCAGCATCCCAAGGAAATCTGGTGAAGCACCTTCACAAGGAGGGGTTGGCGGTCACCGCTGTGGGTGATGGCCCGACGGCCGCAGGGCACCAGTGCCACACGTGCTCTGTCGATGCCTCCCCGAGCCCGCAGAGCGGGCATTGCCCATAGGGGCCCGCTGTGGTGGGGGCCCGTAGGCTGCCCTGAGTGTGGGCGTAGGCCTCGGCCAGGCCTCGCAGGGTGAAGGGCAAGGAGTTGGGATCAAGCAGCTGCCAAAGCGCAGAGGAGTGAGACCCTTGACCTATGAATCTCGCGCACCAGGCGGCGCCTTCGTCGCCGGGCCCGGCTGTGATCCAGACGCACTCGGCGCGTGCACCGCAGGGACATTGGTGCGGGCGCCTCTCGACCTCACTTCTCCGCCTTGCTGAGCCTGGAAAGCCGTTGCATAGTATGCGGATGAAATGGTGGGCCTCCGTGTAGGACGCGCAGTGGTGCAGCAGGTCCCACTCTTCCCCGCTCGAGGGGTGCCATCTTCTCTTTTGGCTGGTTTCAGTGAGCCACTTGGTGAACATCGGGCTGTGCATTTGCGCCCAGGCAGCAGTGTAGTCTACCTTCCCAAGGTATTTTCCTTCCAGTAGATCGGGCTGCTCGCGGGCACGGTTGAGTGCTAGCGCCGCCTTACGCTCTGTGACCACTCTGGGTTTGGGCCGAGACGTGTCTGGTTGTCGTGCTGTTTCGGCTGCCCACTTCAATAGCTTGTTCCACCGTATTCTGGCGCGCTTTCTGATTGGCGCAGGCCCCCAAAAGTCGTTCAGGGCGTGCGCCCTGGTGGAGACGGCCCGAGCCGTGGCTACTGGGCACCTTGGGGCACCCGGCACTTGGAAGCGTATACCTAACCCCGTGAGGATGAAGTCGGGGACCCACGACGCCGCGGCAAGCCAAAATGCGGTCCTGAGCTGCGCACGTAGAGCGCGCTCTTGTATGACGTCAGGGGTGGAGTAGTGGGCAGCGTAGGGGACAAGGGAGGCCAGGTACGAGTTCCAGGCCGCTGCGGTGCGGGTGGGTGACATTTTGGCTAGATGTAGGGCCATGGCCCTGTCCCTCATCTTTGGGAGGGGGCGTTCCCACGTTCCTCTTGTGAGGGCGTCGTCTTGCCCCTTAGTGAGCCGCTCCCCTGGGGGAGGCTGTTCACCTTCCGCCGCACGCGAGACCACCACGGCGCCGAGGTATGGCCACTGGGCCCGCACTGAAGAGCTCACGAAGGGGGTGTACTCCATGAGGTTACGCCACCACTCGTGACGTCCTGCGGGCACGAGGGCAGTCTTGAAGGTGCAGCTGCACTGACGCTGGAAGGGGGTGCATAAGTCGATAGAACGTTGCTCCACGCGTCCCTCGAGGAGGGCCAGGATCAGCTCGCCTGGAAGTCCGGTGATCAGGACGCTGTCCCCGTCTTGCTCGTAGTGTGCGGGTGGGGATATTTTTTTGATCTGCGGCTCCAAGGACGATTCCAGAGAGCGGGTAGTAAACGGGTGGGGATACGCGAAACGTATATATATATATATATATATATATATATATATCCCATATATGTGTATGTATATATATATATATGTGTATGTATATATATATATATATTCCCCCATCAGTGCTTGCAGTGAAGGGGTCCTGGCGGAAGTTGAAAGATTTGGCGAAAGTTTCCCGCCGATGTTGGTAGCAGCTGCTACCAAAATCGGCGGAAAACTGTCGGTAGGTTCTGGGCCGATTTCGGTGGGTTCTGGGTTCCCGGTCTACCGGTCGATCTCCTCAGCGAAAACCATCCACTGATTGGAGTTTTCCGCTGGTGTAATGTATGTGCACATATGTATATACAGAGAGAGAGAGAGAGCAGAGAGAGAGAGACGGAGATTGTTATATCTATCTCTCTATATATATGTACAAAGAGGGAGAGAGAGATAGAGAGAGAGAGAGAGAGAGAAAACAAACAAACAAAATAGGTATACATACATACACATGCATATACGTACACACATTAATTCGCCAAGGATTGCAACAGCAGGCTCAAAGGGTGATCGAACATACAACGGTCAGGCTAAACGGCCGATCGCTCTGGCGTCAGCGCGGCGAGCGGGAACCCTGCCGATGTGGTGAGTCCGACCGCTCTGCTGGGCTGCCCAGCGCAGCTCTCGATCCGTCTCGCTGAGCTTCGCGATCACAGAGTCAGGGAGCCGAGGAGGACTGGTCGCGAGAACGGTTTGCCAGCATCTTGGTTCCATGGGGTCTGACGAATGGACCAGACAACGAAGGCAGTCGTGAAGATCGGCGCCGCACGTGGGGCAGGTGGATGTCGAAATGTATGATCGCACAGCCGAGCGCACACCGTGCTTGATACGCCGATGCTGTGCAAGACTTTTGGGCCGGCGAACGCCTGTTAGCAGTCGCAACACACGAAGACTTTGGGCCAGCCGGCGGGATCCGAAGACGCATGACTCCGATCGGTAACCGAATCGAACAAGAAAGTGGCGTCAACATGTCTGTGCCACGCAGGCTCGGGTCGCGGGTGGTTCGCGGGTTGGGTCGCGGGTGGGTCGCGGGTGGGTCGCGGGCGGGTCGCGGGGTGGGTCGCGGGTGGGTCGCGGGTTGGGTCGCGGGTGGGTCGCGGGATGGGTCGCGGGGTGGGTCGCAGGGTGGGTCGCGTGGTGGGTCGCGGGGTGGGTCGCGAGTGGGTCGCGGGTGGGACGACTACAACAACAACAACGACAACAACAACAACGACAACAACAACAACGACAACAACATCAACAACAACAGCAACAACCACAACAACAGCAGCAACAATAACAGCATCAGCAACAGCAACAACAGCAACAACAACAACAACACCAGCAGTAGCAACAACAACCACAACCACAGCAACAACGCAACAAGCATAGTTCTCTCCACGAATCCCTTATTCAGCCACGCGCCAAGGGACAATGAATGACCGTTCGGCCCCCTCACTCTGATCCACCTCCTTTTTCTGAGATGCCGGGAGAGGATGCCGAGGTGAGGGCATGGGTGGCAGCACCCCCGCCTCCCTGGTCCTCCTCCCACGGGACGTGGTGCTCCACCAACGCCTCCTCCTTGTCATTCTGCTCCTGCTGGTACCGGTAATACAAATAGCCGACAACGAAGCAGGCGGCGCACAGTATCACTGTGAGGAAGCTGCCGCCTGCCGCCATGAACAGCGTCGCGCTGTCGCCGAAGTCCCCCGCGCCGTCGCCAACGACGTCCGCGGGGCACTCCTCCAGGACCACCCACGCCGAGCCGTCGCACGTCACGATCTTGGTGTCCGCGCTGCCTTCTGCGCAGAACACCACGCACGTGTAGTTCTCCGAGACGACCACGCCGGTCTCGTTCTCGGTGCTGGTGTCCTGAGGGGGGGGCGACCGACGGGGACTGGCTCAGCTGGGGAGGCATCGGCCGGGGATCGGAGGTACATCGTCGACCGGTCGGCGACAGGCCCCGGATGAAGCCGCCCGTTCCTGGGCGGGGTGGCCTATCAGGCCCACATCGACGATCATTGGTGGTTGTAAAACAGGGCTAGGATCGGGATAAATCGCTCCAGAGCGTTCCGGAGCGCTCTCAGAGTGTTCTGGAACGCTCTGGAGCGGCCGCGGCGCCCAATACATCCTCCAAACCCGCCGATTCTCAGAGATTTCGAGTTATCCCGATCCGATTTTGTCCCGATCTTCGCGTCGTTTGAGGTTGGGGTCGATGCGACCCTCCCTGAGCCGATGTGAACGTTTTCTTATTCGGCGTTTCGGCATTGGGCGGAAAGGGGGGGGATGGGGAGGGGCCTGGCTCCAGACCTCTGCTTATTAGTGCGACTGTTTGCAGGAGTGCCGCCTCTGGGGGAAACTCCACCCGCTCGAAACAGGCGCCCAAAAACAACAGCCAAGATCTACTCCAGGGGGGGGGGGAGGGAGGGGGTTGGGAGGGGGGCCCGCGCCGATCGGCAAAACAGCAAATAAAAAAAAACGATCACCATCCCCACCTGGCGTTGCCCCCGCTGTCCAGGCCCCAGGAGCAGTTCCACGGCGCGCGCCAGTACGGGCTCGGCCGCAGGGCTGGGTCGCAGGCCCACGAGCTCGTGGTGGTCGACGTGGTGATTGTCGTCGAGGTTGTGCTCGTAGTCCTCTCGCGCGCGCACGTGTGCCCCTACCTACGGCAGGTTCGTGTCGTGACGACAATGGTGATGACGATGATGATGATGATGATGATGATGATGATGATGATGATGATGATGATGATGATGATGATGATGATGATGATGGTGATGATGATGATAATGATGATGATGATGATGATGATGATGGTGATGATGATGATGATGATGGTGATGGTGATGACGATGCTGCTGCTGATGATGATATGATCATGTGATGCTGACGATGACGATGACGATGATGATGATAACGACGATGATGACGATGATGATGACGATGATGATGATGATATGATGATGATGATGACGATGATAATGATAATGATGATGATGATGATGATGATGATGATGATGATGATGATGATGATGATGATGATGATGGTGATGGTGATGACGATGCTGCTGCTGATGATGATTATGATCATGATGATGCTGACGATGACGATGACGATGATGATGATGATAACGACGATGATGACGATGATGATGACGATGATGATGATGATGACGATGATGATGATGACGATGATGATGATCATGATGATGTTGGTGATGATGATGATGGTGATGACGATGCTGCTGACGATGACGATGACGAGGCTGATGGTGATGATGATGACGATGCTGATGACGCTGATGATGGTGATGATGTTGATGATGTTGTTGGTGGTGATGATGATGATGATGCTTATGCTGACGCTGCTGATGATGTAGGTGGTGATGATGATGATGACGATGACGATGATGATGATGATGATGATGATGCTGCTGCTGCTGATGATGATGATGATGATGATGATGATGATGATGATGATGATGATGATGGTGATGGTGATGGTGATGGTGATGGTGATGGTGACGGTGTCGTGACGGCCCTGCCGTTGGCTCCCCGACGCCGCGTGAGCCGCTCCGCGCCGAACGCTCGGCGGTCTCTCGATCGCCAGGTCGCCCCACGGCGACCGGCTCTGGGCCGCCGGCGGCCTCCCGCCTCGGAGCGCCCGCGGCGGGGCCGCCGCCGCGTCGGCAAGACGAGGACCCACCGCGGGCAAAGGGAGTGGCCCCCAGTGTGAAGTCGGGCATGCCACCCTACAGGGGGATTTGGGGCGAGAGATAAAAAAACAACCCAAGAGAATACCCCCACGTGGTCAAAAAATACTCCCAAATCTCGTCCCCAGGCTATTTTTGGGACCATTTTCGAACATCCCCCCCTGTGGAGGGACAGGCCCGACTTCACCCCAGTGCATGGCGGGCGCTGGACGGCCCGGCGCGAGCACCCGAGCCTCTCCTGCTGTCGCACCGCTGCTCGGCGGCCGGAGAGCCCCTGGTGGGCCCGCAGCGGAGGTTCGGGTGCTCGTCCTGGGGACCTTCATGGAGCCAGACATCGGGCGCCTCGAAAAAATCGGGACCGAGGTCTTCACAGTTTTTGGCCTCTCGGGGCCCTCGCCGGATCTCGGGGCCGTCAAACAACAGACATCGGGCGCCTCGAAAAAATCGGGACCGAGGTCTTCACAATTTTTGGCCTCTCGGGGCCCTCGCCGGATCTCGGGGCCGTCCAACAACGACTCGGGATGAACAAAAAAACGGTCCCGGGGAAGTGGTCGGGAGGTCGGGGGCCCGCGTCTCGAAAACATCGAGACGTCGGATGTCTGGGGAGCCGCTCGCTCCACCCATGCGTCGATGCTTCGTCGCGAACGTCCGTCGGCTTGAGTCGAACTTCAGTCGAGCTCGGGTCGAGCTGGAGTCGAGAGTCGAGCAGATCCACTAGGTGGGCCCCGGGAAGGTCCCCACCACGAGCATCGGAAGGAGTCGCTCCGGCGACGGGTCACCCTCACGCCTGCCCGAAACTCAGACGAAGCCAAGACCGGGACGACATCGGACCGTGACAGATCGGGGACCTCTGGGATCCGGCGGCTCCGGAGGACGTATCGGGCGCCACGGCCGTTCCACGACGCGCTCCTGGAAGCTCTGCGGTGCATCCCGGTCCAGGCCCCGCCCGCGCAGTCCTGGTGGTCGTGGTCGTCGTGGTCGGAAGCAGGAGCTCAATCCAGACGCCGGTGTAGGCCATGTTCGAGCCGCCGGTGGAAGCCTGGCAGGTCACGTCTCCGCCAGATTCGTTGACGGAGCCCACGATCTCCGCGCCCTCGGTGGTCCACTCCGAGGTGTTCGCGTTGAACCAGGCGCACACGGGGTCCCAGCCGTAGCCTTTCGGGAGTCGGGTGAGCGCGGGCGTGGTGGGGGTGGGTGGGGTGGGGGGGCATCCCCTGTGAAGGGAACGGGCAGACACACTGAAGGGCCCTCTCCTCCCACTGCTTCTTTTTTTCTTGTTCCTCCTCGTCCCCGTTCTGCTTTTGACCCTGATTCCAGTCCTCCTCCTGCTCGCCCATCTCCCTCCTCCTCCTCCTCCTCCTCCTCCTCCTCCTCCTCCTCCTGCTCGCCCAGCTCCCTCCTCCTCCTTCTCCTCCTTCTCCTCCTCCTCCTCCTCCTCCTGCTCCTCCTCCTGCTCGCCCAGCTCCCTCCTGTTCCTCCTCCTTCTCCTCCTCCTCCTCCTCCTCCTGCTCGCCCAACTCCCTCATGTTCCTCCTCCTCCTCCTCCTCCTCCTCCTCCTCCTCCTCCTCCTCCTCCTCCTGCTCGACCTTCCCGCTGCTGCTGCTCCGCCTCCTTCCCCCTGCACCGGCTGCTCCGAGTCCCCCTGCTCCGCGCCCGACCCGCCTGGAACGTCACTCCCGGAACACCCCCCCCCCCGGTGGCGGTCGCGGAGGAGCTCCATCCAGGAGAGGGGGGAGGGAGGAGGGAGGAGGGAGGAGGGAGGAGGGAGGAGGGAGGCGGCCACGGAGGGGCCCTCCGCGCACCCCGTGCCGGGGGAAGGCGGCACGGGGGGCGGCGCGATGTCGGCCGGGGCCCTCCCGGGGGCACGGCCCGCGCTGCGGGAGGAGGGCAAGAGGAGGTGGGAGGAGGACGAGAGGGGAGAGGATGAGGGACAAGGGGAGGGTAAGGGGTTGAGGGCAAGGGAGGGCAAGGGGACAGGGGAGGGCAAGGGACAGGACGAGGTAAGGGGCAGGGGAGGGTACGGGGTTGAGGATGCGAGGGGAGAGGACGGGGGACAGGGGAGGGTAAGGGACAGGGGAGGGACAGGGGAGAGGACGGGGGACATGGGGAGGCAGAGCAAGGAGGACGGACGACCTCCGCCGCTCCATCGGACGGCCGGAGGAGGGAGACGACGGGAGATGTGTATGAAGGACGAGCGGGGAGGGAAACGAGAGGACGGATGAGGGAAGCGGAGGAAGGATGAGAAGGACAGCCCCAGTGGGAGAAGGAAGGAGGGAGAGAGAGAGAGAGAGCGATAGAGACACACAACAAAGAAAGAGCGAGGGAGAGAGAGAGAGAGAGAGAGAAGCACGACAGGGAAATAGCAGGGAGGCGACTGGGGAGGGCGGGGGGGGCTCTCTGGAAGGAGGGGGGGCCCTCGACCGGGCCCCTGGCACCACCACCACCCCACTCGCGGGCGTCGCCCGGGCTCCGTGCTCCTCCCCCTCCCCGCGCCCCCCTTTCCTTCCACCCCCATGCTGCCCTCATGCCCTCCCTCGACAAGAGATAGGCAGATGAGGAGGAGGAGGAGGAGGAGGAGGAGGAGGAGGAGGAGGAGGAGGAGGAGGGAGGAGGATGGTGGTGCTGATGAGTATGAGGAGGAGGAGGAGAGGAGGAGGAGGAGGAGGGGAGGAGGGGAGGAGGAGGAGGAGGAGGAGGGAGGAGGAGGACGAGGAGGAAGGAGAGGGATGCGCAGGAGGAGAAGAAAGGAGGAGGAGGAGGAGGAGGGGAGGAGGAGGAGAGGAGGAGGAGGAGGAGGAGGAGGAGGAGGACGAGGAGGATAAGCAGGAGGAGCAGGAGAGGATTGCGAAGGAGGGGCAGGAGGAGAGGGAGGAGGAGGAGGAGGAGGAGGAGGAGGAGGAGGAGGAGGAGGAGGAGGAGGACGAGCAGGAGGAGGAGGAGGAGGAGAGGGCGGAGGGGAGGAGGAGGAAGAGGAGGAGGAGGAGGAGGAGGAGGAGGAATCACCAGAACCTCACCGCCGAGCTGCTGGTTTCAGCCGCCACCTGTAGGGCCGAACAGCATTAGGTGGAGAGGAAGCAGAGAGTTTTCGTTATGCATTTTAGCCTGTGCAGCCTTCACGATATCAAGCTGCTGCGGGTGTGTGAAGGGGGCGATCCACCTTGCTTCGCGGCGACTCCCTTGGCCATGGGCTAAAAGTGGTGGCCAAGATCGCATCCCACGCGTGAGGTCAAAGGCAGGATACTGGACAGGGAGGCCGAGCCCGAGGCGGAGAGTGGGGCAAGGAGTGACGACGGCGCGAGGACGACAAACGAGGTGCGTGAGGTGGGGGCCCTTTGAGCAGAGGGCGACGCAATCCGGGCGAAGGCATCCGAAACCGAACTTCCACGGCGCAACATCGACGTGCATGCGGCCCGTGCCCGCGGCTGTGCCCCTCCCCTCCCCCCCCCCCCCGACACAAAAAATCTGTGCGATGCGCGCCAGCGCGCCGTGGGTGGAGCCCGCACCGGAAGGTCGCGCACCGGGTCCCAACGCTCCCTCGCTCCCTGGGCCGCAGGGGGGGGGGGGGGGGACTGGACAGGAGAACCACGCGCTGGGGCGCTGGCCGATTAGCAAGGGCAGCTGGTCGGGGCACGCGACGCCTGCAAGGCCACGCTGAGGCACTCTGTGCGTCTGCCGGCCACGATTCACAGCGAGAGCAGCACGCGCTGCACCGCACCGCGGGCCCGCTGCTAGAAAGGACGGAGCTGCGAGGATGCAGTGGGAGGGCTGGACACCGGCTGGGCGAACGCAAGCCGGTGGTGGTACTGAACACGGGGGAGGAGAAATGGAGGAGAAGGACGAGAGGAAGAGGGGCGCAGGACGGGGAAGGATCCCGAAGAATCTTTCGGCCGAGCCGGCGCCGGCCCGCGCCTTCTTCGGCCTCGCCGGGGGCGGACGGCATCGTGAGGCTCACCTCGAGCGAGGAGCGAGGACGGAGCGAGGAGGCATTCGACTCTCTCACTTCTCCTCCTCCTTCTCCTCCTCCTTCTCCTCCTCCTCCTCCTCCTCCTCCTCCTCCTCCTCCCACTGCTCTTTGTCCTCATCCTCATCGTCACCGTTGTCCTCCTCCTCCTCCACCTCCTCATCTTCGGCGTCCACCTTCTCCTCTTCTTCCTCTCCTTAAGAATTCTTCTTGTCATTATTATTATTCTTCTTCCTCCTTCCTCCTTCCCTCTGCGCCCGTCCATGTGTCCATGGGGCATCAGGTTCGGCCTGTCGAGGGAGAGGGCATGACGGAGCGAGAGACGGAGCGGGAGAGCTCCGTGGCCAGCTTGGCTCATGCCACTTTTGGCTCAAGGCACGCCCGCGCGCCCGCGTGGCCCATCCCCGCACTGGGGGATTCTTTTCCAGGCCAAAGAGCACATGGCAGGACTCTGTGTTCTCGGGCTTTGACGTGTAATGCTGCAGGCGGCCCGCCAAGCGGCGGAGCAGTGACATGACAGGCGCCTGTCTGGCGGCACTCCCCGCAGACGGGGATGGCTTCTCTTCCGGATGATGTCGAGGCGAAGCTCGTGGGTGTTTGGCGAGCCTCGCAGAGCATGGACGTGCGCAAGGCTTTCAGGGAGCACCTGATGTCAGTGGCTACCAGGGCAGCGATGCAGGTTGACCCCTCCGATCTGCCAAGTGTGCAGCTTCTCGAGGCGCAAGAAGATCTGCTCCATGAGGCAGGTGTGGTTGTTGGCCACAGACAACAAACAAGCTCAATGCTGTTGGAATGGGACGACACCTCGTCGACTGTGGCAGGTGGGTTTCGGCCAAACGTGTGGTGGAGGTCAACACAGCGCGGCGATCAGAAGGCCATCCTGTCAGTGCCAGCCTTCTTCGCAATGCTGTCTGCCATGCACCTCGTTCGAAAAAGGCACCTGGTGTACATGAGCCACCGCTCAATGGCGAGCAGTACTCGAAGGAGCTCGACTACAAGACCGAAGGCAACACCGATGAAAACAATTTCTCTGCGATTATTCGTCCCGCCGTGAATTTCCACATAGGGGGCGAAACTCGTGAAGTGGCGAGCCAGACTACCACGGATGCGGACCGGCAGGACAAGCACTCGATCCTCGGGGACAGGCTCGACGACATGAAGGCGAGCCTCGACGATATCAGGGCGGACTTGAGTATGGCGACGGGATCAAAGAAGATCGACCTGGTCGTGCAGGACACTCCCATCAAGGAGATCAATCTAGATATCGCGGGAAAAAGTTGCCTCGAGAACCGCCCCAGCACTGATACGCTACGGAACCGTCCCTCGCAGCAAGATGAATCGCGCTGGGGGCAGACTCGGACGCCAAGCAGCAGTCTGTCATCTCCCGGATCGGCTTTTTGAAGGAGCAGCTCCACAGCGCGGAAAAGGAGACGGACGAACACAAAAAGCTCATGTGCACACTCAGGGAGCAGTTGCATGTAAGAGACATGTTGCTACTTGATGCTGCTCCACGTTCAAACTATCTGGAGTACGTTGTTGGAGTGCAGAGCGAGGTAACCTTCGATATCGATGTTAACAACATCTCGAATGTGCATGGCTGCTGCGCCAACAGTTCGAGCCAGAACTTCATTGACACATTTCTCACCGGGCTTCGGGAATGATGAGAGTACGACGAGAAAACGTCTGGGGAGTTCGCCAGTCTTGCCGAGCAGCACATCCCTAGCTACAAGCGAAGGTGAGCCTCTTCCCTGCGATTGCAACTATATGCTGCGGCAGATTTGGTAAGGTATAATGGCAGCTCTGTCGTAACGGCGTTTGGCCCCCTGCCCAAGCGATGTTTCCCCACTTTCTCCACGTCTCCTTCATATCCTGCCGCGTCCACTCCTTCTCATCCACATCCCAGAAATCTTTCTGCATCCTTGATGCCAGCTTTTCCGGGGGAGGAGGTGGAGTGGGGGGTTCATGGGAGAGGAGCTGGAGGACCTCCCCTGCCCCCCCGCAGCTGCTGCACACAACTTTTAGAGAAGCTACGACTCGTTGTCGCAACGGCGCTGGCATTCGAGGCCAGATTGTGCTTCCCAGTAAGCAGCAGCAGAAATGTCACAAAGTGCTCACTCTCCTCCGTGCAGGGTCTTACAGGAGGGCTGAACCAAGCTCCGCAAAGGCCTTTTGGCACCTGGCAGGGCCACCCTGGAGGAGTGGAGGTTTGAGGAGTGGGGGGAGGACAGATCTTGTTGAAACGGCGCTGGGCATCCAACGCAACAGGCGCCTGCAATTCGAAGCAAGGCGCCCCCTCCTAAGTCCCGCTTCCCTCTACGTAAGTCTCCTCCTTAGTGTGCCTTTTCCTTCTCCCTTGTTCGCCGTCCTTGGCGTTCGGCTGCCGTATCATCAGCACTCGAGGCCAAGATATTCGATAGCGATTGTATGTGGCTGTCAGCTTCCTGGTCGTTCCAGGCCGTCCTCACTGAATCCTTTCAACTCCCTAAATGCATACATGCATGTATGCACGCATGCGTACATACATATACACATACACGCATCCATCCATGCATCCATCCATACATCCACTCAGCAATATATATATATATCAATCCTTACATCTGTGCATCCACACATACATGCATACATGCATGCATGCATGCATGCATACATACACACGCACGTTCATACATACATACATACATACATACATACATACATACATACCTACATACGCACGCATACGCATACACCAAACGTAACATACATACAACTGTGCATACATGCATGCATTCATACATGGCCATCTACATGCATGCATGTATGTTTGCGCCCATCCATACATGCATACATTACGTATTTACAGACACGCATACTACACACATGCATCCATACACACGTACATGCATACATGCGTACATACACACATACATACATATACATACAGACAGGCACACATACATACATACATACATACATACATACATACATACGTACATGCACACACGCATGCACACATACACACATACACATGTACAAACGAACACACATACATACATCCGTACGTATATACATGTACATACATACATACATGCAGACATACATAAACACATACTCACAAACCATAAGTAACATACAGCCAAGCAATCATAACTACATACATACATGCATGAATAAAAAATGAACATCGACATGCATGCATGTATGCACCCGTCCATACACGCATACATATTTATATACAGGCATACGATTTACACGTAAATAAACACATGTACACATATATGCATACATACATACATACATACATACATACATACATTCATTCATTCATTCATGCATACGTACATACACACATACGTACATAAGTACACACATATACACACCAACATGCACACATGCATACACGCCTACCTACCTACCTACCTACATGCATACGTACATACATACATATGATTGTATGCGCATTTAGACCCACATATATATACATATATTTATATAGATCATACACATATAGATATATGTATATATATATGTGTGTATGAGGTCTAGCTGAGTGGTGCCATCGCTTTGTATGGTCAATTTCCCTACATCCAGGTTGCAGCAGCGAGCTGCATGAAGCTCAACACCTGCCCCACTACCGCTGAGCAAGCTCTCACCCCGGAGGTGGAGGAGGCGGAGGTCACAGGGCGGGGGCGGGGGATTGGAGGACCCCTTCCCGCCTCTGCGTGGCCCTGCTGCCGGCCACATCTCCGGTGAGGCAGACAAGAGGCACTCAATGCCTCTGCATCTCTCTCCCTCTCTCTCTACCTTCTGTCACTTCTCAGGTCGACTTTGACCTGTGCTCATTCGCAGGTTCGCCATAGTGTGTTCTGCTCGGCTAGGCCTCTTGTGGCGATTGCTATTGCGGAGCGAGAGAGCGACGAGGGAGGATGACTTTTCACCGAGATGGGCGCGCGCATGGGGAGGAGAGAACGACGATGGAGGAGGGAGGTTGGGGGTGTGGGGGGGAAGACAGACAGAGGAGGGAGGGAGACAGGGAGGGAGGAAGGTGGACAGAGCGAGCCTCGAGCCTCCTTCTCCCCCCGAGGGAGGATCATCCTCCGCCTCCTCCTCCCCCTCCTTTTCCTTTTCCTCCTCCTCCTCCTCCTCCTCCTCCTCCTCCTCCCTCATGTTACTCCTCCTCCTTCCTCCTCCCTCCTCCCTCCTCGCGGAGTGGGAGCGGCGGGCGAAGGCGCGGCGGAGGCGAGGCAAATGCGACGCGAAGGCGAGGCGTCGCCGACAGCGCCGAGGAGCCGGTCAGCGTGATGAGCAGGCGGCGGGCATCGCCATTAACGTACTCGATCGGCTCCCCGCAGGCCTCGCCGACGACGGCGACGACGGCGAAGATGTCTTCGCCGACAGCGACGACGTCATCGCCGACAACGGCGCCTCCGCCGAAGACGAAGGCGACGACTCCTCCTGCTCCCTTGCCTCCTAATTCCTCCTCCTCCTCGTTCTCCTGCTCTTTCCTCCTCTTCTCCCCCCTGCTCCTTCTCCTGCTCGGTCCACCTCCTCCTTCTCCTCCTTCTCCTTCTCCTCCCCCTCCTCCTCCTTCTCCTCCTCCTCCTCCTCCTCCACCTCCCCCCTCATTGGGCACGGTGGCGATTACCACTGCGACGACGACGTTTTCGTTTCGGGGGTTGTTGACGTGTGTGAGAGGGTCATGGAAACTCTTGTCGCCGCATCTTGGTACGGACCAGAAGGGCCACACCTTGTCGATACCTCTTCGCGAGAGGACTGCGAGCAGCCTCTCTGATCGCATTATCGCTCCACCTCGAAGCACCAACATGCGACGCAATCGTCATCACTGCCAGTCGCACGTGCATACAGGACCACGTGTTCATTTTAGCCTTCCTTGTGCCACACAAAGCATGAATACATGCCTTCGCATGCAGACCGCATGCGATATTCCCAAACATCGAGGCACTCTTGTGCAAAAAACACCAAACACATTCGGACTAAACTGTACGAATTGGCCCCACAGAACCAAAACCACCATCGCTGACAATCCTTAACCCGTGATTGCGTCGCAACTTCGACTCATCATTGCTCCTGGATCCAGCTGCGCGCTGAAGCGCAGGCCTTCAACACAAGACGTACGCACAACATTCCTCACCACCCTCATCACCAACTGATTCCGACACATTAGGAAGTGTGAACCGACCCAGGTAGTAATCGAGTCGAGGGGAAGCCCCTTGCCTATTGATTCCCTCACCGCCGTGTTGGGGGGGTCCCGAAAGGGAGCCAAGGGCGGGGTCCCCAAGGTGGTGCCCCCCCCACCCTCCCCCCGCGCCCCCCTGCCCCGGCAGAACTCGGGCGATCTTGGGACCCGTTTGGCCATATTTGGGCCGCCCAGGCCAGCTGGAGCCCTCTCGGGACCCATCTCGGATCACTTCGGCGCTCCTGGGGGTCCTTCGGGCCGTGCAGGGAGACCTGGGGACCAGCCCGAGAAGTTCGAGTCAGCAGAAACAGAAGTGTGCTTTAGACATTCTCGCCGCATCGGGCTCGACCACAAGAAACCTTCCGCAAACGCAGCCCTGAGACCCCAGGGCGTCCACTGACGTTTGGTGTGGGCGCGTCACGCTCTCCATAGCAAAACCATCGAAACCCAAGAAACCCAGGGCACCCTGGAGGCAAGCAGGGTGCTTCTTGGCATGGGTCTCAACTGCAAGAGCGTCCAAGACGGCCGCAGGAGCCCCAAGACCTGCACAAGATTGCCCAAGAAGCCCCCTGTGGGGACCCACCATGCCTGCAAGACAGGCCCCAAGAGAGCATCAAAAAGCGTGCCGGTTGGAAGCCGACCCGACCCTTTCGAGATGATCCCGAGATCCCCAAGGAGGTCCCCAAGAGGCTCCACGACGCAGTCAGGTGGACCACAAAGGCCCCTGGGAGCGGATCCCAAAAGCCCTCCCTCCAAGAGCGTCCAGCGCGTCCCCAAGGCCTTGGCCTTGACTCGGGCGCAGCGGCGGGCTGGGCTGAAGGCCATTCGATTCTCGGCTCCCGCGTGGAAGCCGCAGCTGCCCCCGGGCCCCCGTCGCCCTGCGGCCTCTGGCGCCTGGGCTCCTCTCTTCTCCTCCTCCTCCCTCCCTCCTCCTCCTCCTCCCTCCTCTCCTCCTCCTCCTCCCCTCCTCCTCCTCCTCCTCCTCCTCCTCCCCCTCCCCCTCCCCCTCCTCCTCCTCCTCCTCCTCCTCCTCCCCCTCCCCCTCCTCCCGGTCGGCGGAAGCGGCCGTGAGGCTGCTGAAATAAACGTGTAACATTCGCGCATGACGTATGCGGCCGGCGCATGCGCTTTACGATCGGCGGGTGACCGCAGGCCAACGTTACTTCAGGCTTGAGCCCCAAGGCCAAGGTCCCCAGAAGCGCACTCAGCTCGGAACTTCTGCAGGGGGGGGCATATTGGCCTCAGCACATGCGATCACTCGTACCCAAACATGCCCCTCGACCTTCGGGTCCACAACAACGTCTGCAAACTTATGCGTGTTAGTACGCAATGGTGATCGCAGACGCAGCGCATCACCATACATCTAAGAAGCGATACATCCATACATCTATATACACAGAGTTACGTGTATATATCTATATATATATATATATACTAGAACCACGCGCGCGCTTCGCGCGCGCTTAGGTTCTAGCGCAGACGCTTCCAATTGTAACCTCTGGTTGGGACGACGAGTGCGACGGCCTCCACAAGGACGACGAGGACGACAACGGCGACGATGACGACGTCGAACGACCACGTCTTGCCTTTACTGTTCATCTGGCGCCTTAGGCTGGCGATATGCCTTAGCACCGATACCGATACAAATCCTCGTTAACTCTTCTGCTTCCGTGTTTTCCACCTTTTTACGTTGCGTGCACTCCTCCTCCCTTTTGTCGTCCTGATCCCTCCCTTCTCTTCTTTCTTCTCCTGGTCTTCCTTTTTCTTCTCCTCCTCTCTCCCTACTTCGCTTCATTGTTCTCTTTCTTGTCTTCTTCTTCCTTTCCCTCCTCCTCCTGCTCTTTGTTCTGAACCACTATTTTTCTTATCCTCGCCTTCATCGTCCTTCTCATGTTCCTTCTCCTCGTTCTCTGAGCTTCGTCCTCGTACGGCGTGTTCCGGAAGGGGCTGCTGGAACGCGCTAGGCGCAATGGGTGGTTTCGTCATTCAATGTGCCGTTGAGTCCAACGATGAGTTCTTGCCCTCCTTCTCCTCGTTTTCCTCTTCTCCTTGCACGGATCCTCCTTGTCCGCCTCCACTTCCTCTTGCCGTTTGCTTTCCTTATCTTCCTCTTCCTCCTCCTCCTCCTCGTTTTCCTCTTCACCTGTTGTTCCTCGCCCCGATCTTCCTCCTCCTGAAGCGTGTTTCGGGAGAGTCCTGCTGGAATGCGCTGTGCACAATTGCTGGCTTCACTTTTCAGTGTTTGCTTGCGGCTGACGATGAGCGTTGTCGATCGATACTGGTAACGAGACTTCTTTCCTGGGTCGTTTGGCGACCCTGTTTTGGCTGTCTTGGCCAAAAAACAACCCTTGTCTCACCGCTCCTTCCTCTACAATGACATGATCCGCTGTACACGCGTGCCGAAGCCATCCCCCTCTGGCGATCTAAAAGTTCCCTACGCCTCCCGAAGGACAGGCGATTCCTTCAATAGGGGCGCGGCCACAAGAAACATCCGCAAGGGGCCCAGCCGCGGCACCCGAGGGCGCCCATGGCTTTCAGGCATGCGGGCGCAATGCTTTCCATGGTGGCTCGATCGGAGTCCAAGAAACCAGGGTACCCTGGAGTGAAACTGATGATTTCTTGGAAGGGGCTCCCCACTGTAGTCCCCGGCGCCCCCCCCCCTCCTCCTCCGCTCATTCCCCCCCCTCCTCATCCATCTGCTGCTTCTCCTCCATCCTCCTCCTGAAGGGTAGGAGGAGGGTGGAGGAGGAAGGGGAAAAGGAGGAGGAGGAAGAGGCCCCCAACGAGATCCCCCCCCCGGCTTTTTATGAGAAGGACTCCATCGCGTGTACCCCTTATTCGCCTCCCCGTCTCCCCCTCCTAACCAGGCTTCCCATCCTCCGTGTTGTTCTCTCCGTCCTCCTGTTCCTCCTCCTCCTCCTCCTCCTCCTCCTCCTCCTCCGCCGGCTCCTTCTTCTCCGCGCCCTCCTCGCCCCCCCCTCGCTGCGAAACCGATCGCGTTCCGGAAGAGCCTTGCCGGAACACGGTCACTAGGAGGCGCGAGTCTGCTGGACTCCTGGATCGGCGCCTCGCCCTCCCGCTGCGGCCTCCGAGACCGAGTTCGCGAAATCCCATGCAATCGCGGAATCCCTGGAGCCGTTTTGGCACCCTTGCGGCTCGCCTGAGACCTGGTGGAACCGTCGGGGGAGTGGTCCTGGAGCTCTGTCGGCGGTGTCTGCAGCCGGAGGCGCTGGATGCTGCCCTCCTACTCTTCCCCCCCCCCCCCCTCAGCTGCGCCGTGCTCCTCCTCCACGTCGTCCTCCTCGCGCCCCCCTCGCCCCGATGCCGATCGCGTCCCGGAGGAGTCTTGCCGGAACGCGGTCGGCAAGGGCGCCATCCAAATCACCGCGTTCCCGGAGGGGAGCAGGAGGAGGAGGAGGTGGGGGAGGAGGAGGAGGGGCAGGGGGAGGAGGAGGAGGAGGATGATGATGATAATGATGGTGATGATGATGGCGATGGTTTTGATGATGTTGATGATGATGATGCTGATGCTGATGATGATGGCACTGATGATGATGATGATGATGATGATGATGTTAAGAGGGTGAGAGGAGCAGGAGGAGGGAAGTGAGTAACAGGCGGGGCAGGAGGAAGAGGAGGGCGAGGAGGAGGAGGAGGGCCAGGAGGAGGAGGAGGAGCAGGAGGAGGAGAAGGAGGATGAGGAGGAGGTTAAGGAGGAGTAGGAGGAGGGAAGTGAGGAGCAGGAGGAGGAGAAGGATGAGGAGGAGGAGGAGAAGCTGCAGCAGCTGTCCTGGAACCGTATTGGGGGAAATGGGGCCTGAGCTTCGTCGGGAACCTCCTCCTGCTCCTCCTCCTCCTGGTCCTCCTCCCCCTCCTCGCTCTCCTCTTCCTCCTGCTCCGCCTGCTCCTCACTTCCATCCTCCTGCTCCTCCTCGCCCTCTTAACATGATCATCATCATCATCGTCATCATCATCATCATCAGCATCAACATGAGCATCGTCATCATCAACATCATCATCATCGTCATCATCATCATCAGCATTATCATCATCATCATCATCATGCTCCCCCTCTCCCTCCTCCTCCTCCTCCTCCTCCTCCTCCTCCTCCTCCACCTCCCTCTCCTCCCCCCCTCCGGGAACGCGGCGCTTTGGATGGCGCCTTACCGACCGCGTTCCGGCAAGACTCCTCCGGAACGCGATCGGCATCGGGGCGAGGGGGGCGCGAGGAGGACGACGAGGAGGAGAAGCGCGACGCAGGTGAGGAGGAGGAGGAGGGGGAAGAGGAGGGCAGCATCCAGCAGAGGCCCAGGGCTGTTCTGCAGATGGTTCCGTAGGCTGCGCCCTGGAGGACTCCGGACGCGGAAACCGTGTGAAAACACAGGGAAAATGATGCAAAATCGCTGCTCAAGTGAGGGCTTCGGCTCCGTCGGGCACCCCTGCTGGAGCCGTTTTGGGACCCTCTTGGGGCCCTGTGAGGTTGTCCTGGGGCCGGGTGGAACCTGTGATTGTCATTCCGCGTAGGCTGCGCCCTCGAGGGCTCCGGACGCGGAAACCCTGTAAAAACACATGAAAATGATGCAAAATCGCTGCTCAAGTGAGGGCTTCAGCTCCGTCGGGCACCCCTGCTGGAGCCGTTTTGGGACCCTCTTGGAGCGCTCTGAGATTGTCCTTGGGCCTACTGGAACCATCTGCAGAACAGCCTTGGGCCTTTTTCAGCAGCCCCTGCGGCCTCCGGAGCCCGGGACGCGGACACCTTGTAAAAAACACAAGGAAAATGAGCCCCAGTACCATCATCATCATCAGCATCAGCATCATCATCATCATCACCATCATCATCATCATCAACATCATCATCATCATCATCATCATCATCATCATCATCATCATCATCATCACCATCAGCATCATCATCATCATCATCATCATCCCCCTCCCCCTCTCCCCCCCCTCCTCCTCCTCCTCCTCCACCTCCTCCTCCTCCTGCTCCCCTCCGGGAACGCGGTGCTTTGGGCGGCTTCAGCTCCGTCGGGCACCCCTGCTGGAGCCGTTTTGGGACCCTCTTGGGGCCCTGTGAGGTTGTCCTGGGGCCAGGTGGAACCTGCGATTGGAACTCATTCCGCGTAGGCTGCGCCCTCGAGGGCTCCGGACGCGGAAACCCTGTAAAAACATACGGAAAATGATGCAAAATCGCTGCTCAAGTGAGGGCTTCAGCTCCGTCGGGCACCCCTGCTGGGGCCGTTTTGGGACCCTCTAGGAGCGCTCTGAGGTTGTCCTCGGGCCTATTGGAACCATCTGCAGAACAGCCTTGGGCCTCTTTCAGCAGCCCCTGCGGCCTCCGGGGCCCGGGACGCGGAAACCCTGTAAAACAAATGGAAAATGAGCCCCGGTACCGTCATCATCATCATCATCATCCTCATCATCATCATCATCATCATCATCATCATCATCATCGCCATCGTCATCATCATCATCAGCATCAGCATCATCAACATCAACATCATCATCATCATCATCATCATCATCTTCATCATCATCAGCATCATCATCATCAGCATTATCATCATCATCATCATCATCATCATCATCCCCCTCTCCCTCCTCCTCCTCCTCCTCCTCCACCTCCTCCTCCTCCTGCTCCCCTCCGAGAACGCGGCGCTTTGGATGGAGCCCTTGCCGACCGCGTTCCGGGGGGGCTCCTCCGGAACGCGATCGGTATCGGGGCGAATGATGCAAAATCGCTGCTCAAGTGAGGGCTTCAGCTCCGTCGGGCACCCCTGCTGGAGCCGTTTTGGGACCCTCTTGGGGCCCTGTGAGGTTGTCCCGGGGCCAGGTGGAACCTGCGATTGGAACTCATTCCGCGCAGGCCGCGCCCTCGAGGGCTCCGGACGCAGAAACCTTGTAAAAACACAAGAAAAAGGAGCAACGTCGCTGCTCAAGTGAGGGCTTCGGCTCCGTCGGGCACCCCTGCTGGAGCCGTTTTGGGGTCCTCTTGGGGCCCTGCGAGGTTGTCCCAGGGCCAAATGGAACCTGCGATTGGAACTCATTCCGCGTAGGCTGCGCCCTCGAGGGCTCCGGACGCGGAAACCCTGTAAA